TTTTTTCGCACCGTGTCGATCACCACTCGAGCTTTGTCCACCCGTGTGTTCTGTGTTACAACACACTCCAGTTCACCATCAGTTATCACCCCACGCTCCAGGAGTTTATCCAGCAGCTTACGGAGAACAGGTTCAGACACTCTGTCGATGAACTGTGTCCGAACAGACTTCAGCTTCTTTTCTGCTGGGACACGAGAAGTCCCTGCTGGGACACTAGAAGTCCCTGCTGGGACACTCGAAGTCCCTGCTGGGACACTAGGAGTCCATCCTAGGAAACTAGATGTCCCTGCTGGGACACTCTGGGTCCCTGCTGGGACACTAGGAGTCCATGCTGGGACACTAGGAGTCCCTGCTGGGACATGAGATGTCCCTGCTGGGACACTTGAAGTCCCTGCTGGGACACTTGAAGTCCATCTTGGGAAACTAGGAGTCCATGCTGGATCAGGACCTATAAGATGAACAAGAAAAGTATGTGTTAAATTTACAGTATAGTGTATGAGTGGGTGCATATACAGTATATGTTACTGCCACTAGTAAAGAGGGTAACTGAGTAGATATAATTATCCTCCTTATTTTCCAACACTGACTTTGATCAATGTTACTTTTAGCTTCTTCACACAAAGCTCTTCAGTCCGACTTCTTTTGTGTCACAGGTCAAAGTTCACAACCATTTTTCATTGATTTTATACATTTGATTTTATACTGACTCCCATTAACACTGGTTACACAGTGGACTGTGGAATAAAAGCAGAACTGAAGATGATCTCTGGCAGAACCAGAATAAAGGCATCGTGGATCAATCACTAACTATTCTCTCCTGTCCTGTTCTACTATCAGGTGGACTGATGCTGCAGGTGGATGAAGACTTTACCAGTCAGGTCAAACTCGTGCTTCCAGACATCTGCATCCGTTTGGTCTCGGACCGTTACAGTCGCTTGTTCTGTGTTTGCAGGCAGCCGGATCTCAAACGTTGGGTGGTAGTTTGGTCCAAAATGCAGATCAAACTCTGCTTTCTGAAAAGCAGTAGCACCAGCGTCAGTGTCCCGACAGTTTCCACAGTATCAGCGTGTTTCTAAACCTTTTATTTCACATACTCACCTCAGGCTGTACTTTCTGGGCCGTCGGACAGTGAGCGGGTAATCTTCAGATCTTTATATTGAGTTTGCATTGGGAAAGGCGCGCCGGATGTACACAGACATATGGCTGTTTTCTGCTCACCTTAAGAGACATGAGAACATGTTAGTTAGACGATCTATCCTCAGTTGAGCCCGACTGATAAATCCACACTTTCATATTGTCTCTTATACGTTCTAGCTTTCTGACAATCCTTGAGATGTGATGTTCATCCAGTTCTTGTCCATCTTTGTTAAATGACCCGGTTCTTTGGAAACGTAGAACAATATCTGATTGATGCTGATGAGTCTGGGCTCAGAGTGAAGCTGTAACACGTCTTTACCTCTTCCAGAGGGACGTTGCTCGGCAGGAGAAGCACATTGAGGTTCTGCCTCTGTGTCTTTGGGTTTGGTGGTCGGAGGAACAGCAAAACTTGGCCGCTAATAGGGTGCACGTTGTTCCAAAACCTCCATAAAACCTCCGAAACCCAGGTTAGGCCAAAGGCAGAGAGATGAGGGACTTTGACGATCACATGAGTGTCTGTGATCTCCAGCGGGTCGATGACGCTCATCCCATCATCGGTGATGTGGACAACAGACAGCAGATCTTCAGAGAGCAGAGCTGTGGAAACACACACACATTCATCATCTGTTTCCCCGACGACAGCCTCATCACAAAGGTAAAGATCATTTTATTCAATGTTTAGTTGAGGTGTCAGGATTCAATCTGACTTTCCATTTCAAGGTCACGATCCGATTCAATTTTCAATTTCAACAATTCCTTTCAGCACCGACGTAAAGATCAATAACAATCATTGGTTTTATGCCCTGACAACTGTCGATTACATTTCCAAATTCTTCTTGGAACAGAGGCTACATGGTATCAAGTGTGATATCACAACCACTTTTGTTTGGAAAGTCCAACACTAAGGTCATGTGGTCAAATTTAAATAAGTTCTTTTAAATGATAATAATTTATTTCACCAGTCAACTGGGAACAAACTGTGAACATGAAAACAAAGATAAGTCACAGAGCGTATCCCTCCGCCATCTAGTGACTCTTCCTGTAACTGCACTCTTCACATCAAACAACAGCAGCTGCCAAAATACAAACTGTGGTTTTCTTGTCAATGACACATTCGTCGAATCTTTAATCCAGTTTAATATGTGTTGAATTCAACATATTTATTACCATTTACTGTGATTTATTCAGCTTCTCTTTGGCTATTGTTTGTTTTGTTGAAGCATCAGAGGAGGTGGAACAAGAGAGGGATGATGAGACAGACAGCAGGGAATTAAATATACATTTAACCGTAGATGGAGGCTGCTCCTCAAGCCCCACGGCTGCTGCTGGATCTCAGTTACAAGGTTTCCAGACTGTGGCCTCATGTTCAAACATCAAGCAGCTATGGCACGACAGAGATCACATATCTGATACTATCAACATAATATTAAACATCATGTACTTTTATCAATATAAAATCTATATGAAATACCAAATGTCTGGTTTATATAATGGGAGACGTGTGACTTGGGCTGTAGTAGACTGTGCAGCCTACAGGGGGCGCTACCAGGACTATTAGTAATTATTAGACTAGTCATTTACTCACCATCCTTAGTTTCACAGTGTGGGAGGTGGAGCTGACGGACAGCATCCTCGGGACACTGGATATCGAACAGTGGCCCTGCAGCCGTCTTGCCGGCAGATTTGAGGAGAGTCTCATCCCATTGGACGATCCTGTAGAGCAGCTCCGCCTCCTGAGCCATCACAAACACCAGTCCAGTAGAAGTACACTGGAACCCGCCCGGACCAGGACACCTGAACCTGCAGGACACAGAAGACTGAATGAGCACGGACCGGACCGGACCGGACCAGACCAGACCGGACCGGACCGGACCAGACCAGACCAGACCAGACCAGATGGGACCGGACCAGACCAGACCAGACCGGACCAGACCAGACCGGACCAGACCAGACCAGACCAGACCAGACCAGACAACAAACAGGAAGGACCCACAGAGAGGTTTAAACACGATATGATTGTGTAATACAACAGTAACACTTTGGTCACTGAAGGAGAGAAGACAAGAGGCATCCATGACGCCACCAACTCTGCAGAAAGCCGTGAAGAAGAGGGAAAACAGTGTTTGCTGATTTTATTATGCGATTACCTGTATGACACTTGTGTAGATGCAATTTTCAGTTCAGGTGTGAAGCTTGATGGAGGCTGTGATTCACAAAGAAACAACATCAAACAACATCATTAGCAGAAATAAACAAAGATATTCTCACACAGTCCACACTGAACTGAATGAAGTCATTATTTACAGACGACATCCGAGCGGTTTGAAGCAGCAGATTCTGCAGATACGAAAGATATTAAAGACATCAAGTACATAAATATATTTGGACTCAATGGCCACAGTGTTTTAGTTCCCTCCACTGTGACTGGAGATAAAACAATTCATTCACCTGCTTCATGTGGTGTTGATGTGAAAAGTCTCTGTTCATCATCTTTTCTCTCCACGCCCTCAGAAATACATAATCCCAGTTGTTTTGAAAAATCAAATACTATTAAATATGAAATGTCTCATTGTCGTTAAAATAAAATTATAACGATGGCGTATAATGACAGAATTTAAGGGACAATGAGAAAGTGGAACTCTGATCAGGATACGGTGGTTTTTCTCACCTTCATCAGCTTCGTGTCGTCCTCAGACACGTCCAGCTTTGTCTCTGTTGTGTTCGTGTCCAGTTTGACATCAGAGTCACCTGATGGGAGGAGAAGTCACAGATCTGAGTCAGACATGAAGTCGGAGGATGTGAGCAGCTCAAAGCCTCCTGTCATCACGTTCCTCTCAGACGCTCCTGGTTTTCTATTGGCTGTGCATCAGCATGAGCTGACGAGTCCAAATATCTGTTACTGAGTCAACGACAGGGACGTGCTTGCTGTTTGTAGCTGCCTTTATTCAGTGAAATTCATCAGCTGCAGCCACATGTTGTTTTTGTAAACACTCTGATAAACAGCAGCGGCACGGTAGAGAGTCAAATCTGAAGAGACTGGAGTGTGAGCTTCTCCTCCACGGCAGCAGTTAGTTTCTTTTAGGTATCTGTGTCTTGTTCAGGCATCAGTTGCACCGACACACACAGTTTATTTAATGTTTGTGGATCACAGGCCTGCAGCGACACTTTGGCTTCAGGTCTGTTATCTCTGTAAACAACACATATGTTCCCTCTAACACACAGGACATTATTAAAAAAGTCTTGATCAGAATCATCTGTCAACAGTGTTTCTTACCTTTATGTAACGATGACGGGCCCTCTGAGAGCAGATCTCCTTTTTCAGCAGCAGGCTGCACACTCACTGACAATATTTAGAAAGCATGAAAATCATTTGATTAAAATTTGAAATTAATTATTATTAATTATCTTTGAAATTAAAATTTCTTTTGTCTTTAGTTTAAAAACAATTTTACAGAAAGCGGGAGACCTCAGCGCTCACCAGGGTAACGATGGAGAAACCTGGATGGGAGTGATTGGGAGGAACTGCCTGCCTGATCTGAACCCAAGTGATGTTTTGTTGTTGGACTATAAGGTGATTTATTAGTTACTACCACGTTTAAAGATTCTGATCATGAAACTCTGCTTCCAAACAAAGTCTGTTAATGTTCCTCCAAGTCCAGCTGACCATGTGGCACATACTGCTGTCAGCTGAAACATTTATATGCACATAAATTCTGTCCATCAAAATCATTATTATATTATTTTACTATTTGTAGTGTTGAGCCGGTTCGCGCTGGGCCCGGGCCTTGGCCCATGGGGCCCGGCCGGGNGCTGTCAGCTGAAACATTTATATGCACATAAATTCTGTCCATCAAAATCATTATTATATTATTTTACTATTTGTAGTGTTGAGCCGGTTCGGGCTGGGCCCGGGCCTTGGCCCATGGGGCCCGGCCGGG